GCTATGAGTTGGGGCTGACTCGACGGCAAACAACAACAATATATGGCATAAACAGACTATCAAGCATGAACCAAAATGCACAAACAGCAGAAGATAAACTAGATGACTGGGACCTTCTAAAAATCAGATTTTTCTATGCTTCCAAAGACTTCTCCAAAAGAGTCAAAAGAGAACCTACAGATTGGGAAAAATATTTGGCTATGACGTATCTGACAAGGGACTTATCTCTAAAAGTTATAGAAAACTACAACACCTCAACAACAAAAAGACAAATAATCCAATTAAAAAATGGGCAGAAGACATGAATAGACACTTTACCAAAGAGGATTTTCAGGTGGCCAACAAACACATGAAGAAATGTTCATGGTCATTGGCCATTAGAGATGCAAATCCAAACAACACTGACATATCGTCTTGCCCCGGCATTGGTAGCAGAGTTCAACAAGACAGAAAATAACAAATGCTGGTGAGGATGTGGAGAGACTGAGACTCTCACATACTGCTGGTGAGACTGTAAAATGATACAACCATTGTGGAAAGCAGTATGACGATTCCTTAAAAAGTTGGAATTAAGAATACCATTTGACCCAGCAATCCCATTACTAGGTATATACCCTAAAGAAGTGAGAGCCATGACAAGAATGGATATATGCACACCCATGTTCATCGCAGCACTATTTACAATAGCCAAAAGATGGAAACAATCTAGGTGCTCATCAACAGAAGAATGGATAACCAAACTATTGTACATACACACAATGGAATACTATGCAACCTGAAAGAATAACGTAGATTCTGTAAAACATCACATAACGTGGATAAACTTGGAGGACATGATGCTGAGTGAAATAAGTCAATCACAGAAGGACAAATATTGTATAATACCTAAGGCATTTGACTGCTAACCAGAAAGCTGGCAGTTCAAACACACCAGCCACTCCTTGGAAGGAAGATTGGGCAATCTACTTCAGTAGTGATACCACCTTGGAAACCCAAGGAGGGGTTGCTATGAGTCGGCTCTGAGTCAACAGCAGTGTGTGTGGGTGTGTGTGTGTTACTATAAAAGTCAAGGAAATTTTTAAATATGGAAGGACATTTTTTTGTTGGTTACTAGGGATGAGAGGGGATGGGAGGGACTACTCCTAGATGGGTAGAAACAAGTATTGATTTGATTGAAGAGAAGGGCAATGTACCAAATATGAGTGATCAGCATGGTGGTTTTGAGGAAGGGGAAGACAGAGAGAGGTGCATGGGAGGTACAGACAACAAAGATGAACCATTTTGCACATACAATACTGTGTTGTTAGTGATGGCAAATATTGATCTATGGGTGGCTAGATGGGTGGACAGGCTGAATGATTAGGTATATCTATGCAAGGGGGAGTGTGCCCATGACCATGTATAGGGTTGGTAGACAATGTATTTGCATGTTCTGTAAGAATTTCTAGCTATAAAATATAGCTGACAAGGAACAAGGTTGTAGTCACTTCTTGCCCACAGCCAGCTACCCAGAGGGAGCAAATAGTTGGACCTGTGGGCTCTGGACCATATTCTCAGGGGACATAAAGCTCAATTGGCATAACATACTACACAAAAACATTGTTCCACATCCTACTTTGATGAGTAGCAACTGGAATCTTAAAAGCTTGCAAGCAGCCATCTAGCTGCAATGATAGTTCTCTCCTCACCCAAAGCAAAGAAGAATGAAGAAAACCAAAGACACATGGAAACAATTAGTCCAAGAGACTGGTACACCATGTGATCTTCAGCCTATATGACCATGAGACCAGAAGAACTAGATGGTGCCCGGCTACCACCATCAATCACTTGGAGGGGGTCTATGTAGGAGATCCTGGATAGAGTGGAACAACAATGTGGAACAAAACTCAAAATCTTTTTTTTTTTTTTTTTAAATAGAGACCAGGTTTGCTGGTCTGATAGAGCCTAGTGGAACCCCAGAGATTATGGGCTAAATTTAGCTGGCCTTCAGGTCTGGAACTGAACTCATTACTGTGGCTTCCAGCCAAACAAAAGACAGGCATATAGGAGCCTTTACATTGGGTAGATACACTCCTTAGAGAGATCAATCATTGGAGAGTAGAAGGGCTGTGTATGCACAGGGAGACAGTTCAAGGGGTGGGTGTGCATGGGAGAGAAGGACACAGGGAAGAAGTGGCTATGGGGAAGAAGTGAGAGGAGAAAAGTTGCATTGTGGGAGACTGAAGTCAGTATCATGAGACAAAGTGTATGTGAACTGCTGTCTGGAGGATGACTTTGCTCTGTAAACTTTTACTCAAATCACAATAAATTATTATTATTATTATGGTCACAATTTACTTGAAGTTCTGTGTCCATCTGGGTTGCTACTAAATCAATTTTAAAGTAATCAGCCTCAAAGTAATCCTTTTGCTTAGAGAACTTTGGAAGTTCAAGAAAGTATATTAACAGCAGGCTAGAATTAGCAACAATTATTTATTTATTTAAATCACTAGATTTCTGTGGCATTTCAACTGGGTGAGTACTCCAATGCAAAAGACATGACTGAAGATCAGGTTTACCTAGTTTCCAAAGTAATGGTATCGACCACTATAGAATTCACATTGCATCACTGGGATAAAGATATGTATTTCTTTTTGCCTAAACATGGTCAAGTAGCAAATATCCACCACAATGACAGCTATTGGTCTTTGTAGGTGACAGGCAAGTCTCCCAAATACTTTCTTCTTATAGCAAAAAATATCAAATACCTTTCAAACAGAATCTCACTAAGAATGAAAACTATTAAAGTTGTTAAAATTTAATATTAATTTACATGAGCCCTCTATAGAATATAACCTCTGATGCACAACCTCAGCCTTTTCTTTCTCTCTCCCTTCTCCTTTCCTTCCTTTTCTCTTCCTTTCTTGAGTGCCTTGTGAGACCACTATGTATCAGTCACTATTCTAGATGCTGAGGAATCAGTTTTTACATCTGAACTAATCATAACAGGTCATGCCCAAGGTCTGTTTTGAAGAAATTGCTACCTGTTTATAAAAATCCACCTCCAAAGTTAGATGGGAATGAGGAATAGTAAACCAAGCTTGGTGCTTCTTCCTCTTTAAATAGTATTTTCTAGGCTGAATTTGGACATAGGAAACCCATGGGAACTCACCTTCTACTGTGGCCACCCACACATTTCTCAGCCCTGCCTAACCGTGAGAGTGAACCATCATTCCCGCTTCCTGAATACGCGCTGTTATTTATTACGCCATGGTAGGAGGGTGAAATCAGGCAAGTAGCTTCCTTTAAAGGAATTCCTAAGCTGGGAACAGGCAGCAGAGGGGGAGGGATAGAGCAATTGCCTGGGCCTCACAGTACAGCCTCACAGTCCAAGTTGGTGCTCATGTCCAATGGTGTCTTGGTGAAATCTATGGGCAAACGCAGGGGCTTTCCCTGTGAAGCAGAAGTCTGAGCAGACAGCACTAAAAATAGAGCCTCGTAGGGCTGACTGAGTCTAGAGTGTCGTGGAACTAAGAAAGCTTCAGACTGGAGACATTTTGCCTCTTTGTTTTTCTATAGAAGCAAGAAAGTCAGCTGTGTGGAAAACCATGACTCATATACTTTGGCTGTATTGTTTGGTGTTTCTTTTGCCCACAGAGTCCTGCAGAACATTATGCCAGGTAAGAAAAGGGGGATGAAGATGAATTGATGGAGAGAGCAAACGGAAAATAAAATCAGCCCATTAACTAGTTTCAGTTATCTTAACTGAGATGTAGGAAGAAGATGGTGATGGGGTAACTGGGTGACCAGAAGAAACTCAAACTACAGGTAACTAAAAATCCATTTTAACTAATAGCTACAAATTATTTCCCCATAAGTTGCAAACATGCAATGAAGCTCAAATGATTTAAGGTTGATAAACTCTTCTTTCCATATCATCTGATGAAGAAAATTTCAGTTGCTCTTAACCAGAACAGTACCACTTCCTTAGGGGCATTTGAAAAAGTGTGAAGGTGGATGAGGGTTGTCATAATGATTAAGAGATACTAGTGGTGTTTAGTGGGCAAGACTTTAGAATGGTCTGGCACAATGAAACACTGTTCTCCCCAAAATGGAAACAATACTTCCTTTGAGAAAACTGTTGGTGAACCCCAAGGTCTAACTGGTGTAGAGTTTGTACCCATTACCCTATGTCATTGAATATGTCATATTCCAACTCATAGAGACCCTTTAGGACAGAGTAGAACTGTCCCATAAGGTTTTCAAGGCTGTAAATATTTACAGAAACAGACTACCTCACCTTTCTCCCACAAAGCAGCTGGTGGGTTTGAACCACCAACCTTTTGGTTAGCAGCCCAATGCTTTAACCACTACACTCCGGAGCTCCTTGAAGAGTTTGTAGCAAGGTAATAGTTGTAAGCTCAATGGACTATGTGTGAGTCCTATGGCTCCCTCTGGAATATTTTTCTTCATACCATATATCATTTTAACTTCCCTCTTGATTACTTATTTAAAGTAAGTTGTGGAGAATCATTGAGAGAGAGAGAGAGAACATAAAAATATTTTGAACTTCTTAGGAAAAGATTATTATTATTTGATTACTTTTTACTATAATATCTGGAAGGAAGCTTTGAGATCAACCAGTAAAGCTCCATTCCCTTATTTAGATGTAAACCGAGGAACAGAGTGAGGGACGTGATTTGCTTGAGGTTGCATACGTGTTAGTCACAGGGCCAAGCTCAGAATCACTGTATTCAGATTCTCAGTTTTTTGTTCTTTCTGTCTTAACATGTACCTTCTTAACAAACCTCCTTAGGAAAAAATAACTTTGAAAGTTCTTTTCAGGAGCTTTCCAAATAATATTTACTTTATCCTCTGAATAGTTTGCCACTGGATGAAATCATCTTCAAGAGTTGCCTCCTTTCCTTGACACTCTGCTGGTGCCTAATTTCTAGAAGAGCTTTAGAAACCCCTTCAGAAGGGCTCCTTCTTTGAGACATCCCAAGCCACACCAGGTCCTATTTTTTTTTCCTTTTCTTCCCACTTCCTCATCCACATCTTTCCACAAGACAGAATATGGAGAGTAGGCAAAAGCACAAGAGATTGACTTTGATTTTTTCTTGATGATTGGAGACCATGTGACCAGAAACATCCCATTCTTTTCCTCTCGTTATATAAGTTGCTGGATGCTGAGTTCTGGGTGTTGCCTCTCCTCTGACGTTGCCTACTAACCCAGGAAGTTCAGCAGGTTTAGCAGGTTGCAGGTTTGCAAGTGTCTTTTTAACAGTATTATGCTGAGAATTGTTGGTATCTGAAGTTAAAGTGGCCCATGTCAAATGCCACCCTAGAAATGAAATGATCAAAAGGAGTCTTCCATGTGTGTAATTGGCAGATTAGTTGAGAAGAAGTTAATTGGGTCCTTCACTTAAGAAAACAGTTTACTGTTCCTTGTAAACAGTATACTGTAGCCTTCTGCCCAAGTATCTCATTAATATAATGTTACTTCATCAGAGTCTATTTAATGGTCCAAGTATCATCCAGAGTTGTTGTCCCTCCCACAGCACTCTCTACTCCCCTGAGTTCAATAATTTGTTGCAATAGCCACACAGAACTCAGAGAACATAGTTAAAGTTACGGAGTTTACTAGGAAAGAAACAGGTTAAAATTCAGGTTTGTGAACACTCAGGATACAGTTATTCAAATGCACTTTCAAAGGACACACTGCACTTCTAGCTCTTCTTCTTGGTGGTGGTGAAGTTCCCCCTCTGCTTGGGAATGAGCTCTCTTTTAAGCCTAGGGGGATGGCAAAGTGACCAATCCCCTTGTTAGGATCCATGCACCTTATTTGCATGGGTCCACCTACACAAGGGTGCCATGCACCTTATTTGCATAATTAGCAAGCTATCCAATCCCCTTAGTGGCCCACAAACACTTTATTTAAATAGTCCCACTTAATCTTTTGGTGAGAGTTACAAAACTATGGCTAGAAGGGCCATATTAAGTAATTCATTTATCTGAAGTTGTTAATTTCTAAGTGTATTTATCATACTATATTGGAGACCATGCACCTATCAAGATAAGTCTTTGGAATCTTGAAATGCCTGTACTTCTGCACACACTCTTCTGCACCAGTATTTGGATATAGCTGGTTTGGTGGAAAGAGTACTATCCCAGGAACGCAGAGAGCTAAGTTTTAGTTTCAGCTCTGAGAGGAACTCCTTGCATGACCTTAAGCAAGACACCTCATCTATCAAAGCCTGTATTCTCTTCTGTAAAATAAAAGGATCAGACTGAGTGATCTATAAGGTCTTCTAAAACTCTCAAAATACTATTTTGACATTGTATTTCATGAAAGCACAGGGATACCTTCTTGATTGTGGACAGACCCCACATGCTAAATTTAGATTCCTCATTCATTCTCATTTGACAGAGAATAGGAAAGATTCAACCTTGCTTCTTGATAACATAGAAACAACTTTGTGAAAGAGAAAGGAACTTGATTCCCAAGAGTTAGTTACATAGGTTGGTCACTGACCTTCCAGTTTCTTGGTAAATGACTTGGATCTTAAAATGCAAAATCAAGGCTCTTCCCGGCCACTAGAGAGCTCTCTTCTGGTTCATATACAGGGAAATTCAGTCTGCTCTGGTAGCATAGTGGCTAAGTCACTTGCCTGCTAACCAGACGGCTGGCGGTTCAAACCCACCAGCCACTCCTCGGAAGGAAGGTTGGGCAATCCTACTTCCGTAGTGATACTGCCTCGGAAACCCAAGGAGGGGTCGCTATGAGTCGGGGCCGACTCGACGGCACATAACAACAACAACATCCACATACAGAGAACTCTCTGGGTGGTGCAAATGGTTAACGTGCTCAACTGCTAATTAAAATGTTGGCACTTCCATTTGACACAGAGGCTCCTTGGAAGAAGACCTGGAGTTCTCCTTCCAAAAAAGTAGCCATTGAAAACCCTATGGAGCTCAGTTCTACTCTGATACACATGGGTTTACCATGAATCAGAGATGACTTGATGGCAAATGGGGTTTTCACATACACATACATATATGCCATTATATGTGTAGACACAAGTACATATATCAACACACATATACATATATGTATGTGTTGTTGTTGTTGTTGTTATGTGCCGTCGAGTCGGACCCGACTCATAGTGACCCCTCCTTGTGTTTCTGAGGCAGTATTACTATGGAAGTAGATTGTCCAACCTGCCTTCTGAGGAGTGGCTGGTGGGTTTGAACTGCCAGCCTTCTGGTTAGCAGTCAAGTGCCTTAGGTACTACATGACCAGAGCTTCTATATGTGTTGCATATGTGTAAGATATTGAACTAGGTACTTGGAGTACAAAGAAACACAATACACAATCTTGTTCTAAAATAACTTACTCTTTAATTGGGAAGACAGTGTGCATATATTAAAAGGTTAGATAGTTAATAGCAAGTCAGATGAGTATGCCAAGTACTGAATGAATGCTTTGGTGGTATGGACAGCAAGTCCCACAAAAGCCAGAGAAGAAAAGATGTGTTATTCAGAACACATTCAGGAATGCTTCTTGGCATAGGCAAGGATGAGCTTTGCATGTAATAGACATTCAGTAAGTTCATGTTCAGAGAATAATAATAACTAAATATCTCATATAGCACATATTCCATGAACTTTTCTAAGTGTTTTTCATAGATTATCTCATTTATTCATCATAAAAATTGTCAGGGGTATCATATGATTACAGAATTACAGTTTCTATTCTACTTTATGGATGGAGAAACTGAGGTTCAGAGAGATTGACTTTCTCAAGGTCTCATGTGATGGTATAGGGACTTGAAATCAGTGATGTGTGCCTAGTTTATACGTTCTTAGTCACACATGACACTGCCTCTCAGTGAAGGATCAGGTATTATATTGATGATGGACTAGACTAAAAAAACCCACTTCTGTCAAGTCGGTTCTGACTCTTAGTGACCAGACAGAGTAGACTGACAGAATGAAACTACCTGATAGGGTTCCCAAGACCGTAAATCTTTATGGAAGTAGACTGCCACATCTTTCTCCCCATAGAGTAGCTGATGGATTAGAACTGCTGACCTTTTGGATAGCAGTCAGTGCTTTAACCACTGAGCCACCAGGGATCCTGTGGAATAGACCAGGGCTTTGATAGGGAGATGTGGGAATGTTTATGACAGGGGGGAGCCAGACTTTGGGGTAGTCCTCTTAAAGGAAAGTAATACAAAATTAAGTTAAAATGTATTTACTTAGAATGAAAAATGAAATCATAATAGGTTTCACATTCAGAAATACCAAAGAGTATTACAAATTTAGAAAAATAGCGTAATATTTTTATTAGTGGACTCTCTGACACACCACTATAACAATTTTCCCTTATACTTTTGGCTGCATACTTACATCAGAATGGCTTTATAAAATCTTTTTCTATAGACAGACTAGAAAGATTATCTAGTTTTCCCTCTAAAACTGTTGACCAAGTTTGTATTTTATTATTGTTAGTTTAGAAAAATATCTTTCAGCTTTGCAATTTGTTACTGGTAATGCCATGTAAATATGTAAGACTGCTGTCAAGTTTAGGATAACCTCTAACAAGGTTCTTTCATTTGTGAGCTTCAGGGTATCAGGACATTCGGAATATTTTTGTGCTGTGACTAATTGGAAACACTCATTGAATTGTTGCCACTTATGTGCTAAAGTCCTCATTATAACGCAGAAATGACTGCAAAATACATAAATATAGTTTATTAAATGAAACTAAATGTGTCTCCAACTCAACTTCTGCTTGTTGAGTATAAATCCTATAAATACTTATAGCTTTTCTAGTAGTACCCAAAAGGAGGGAAAGTGTAAAGGTGGGGCTGTTGGAGTGATAAAAGAGAACAGTCTTAAAAGATGGCAGCTAAAATATTTTACATTTGAAAGTTTAACAAAACATATGAGGCTCTCTTCCAGACCTTAGAAGGGAGGAAGGGACTCTGAAGCTCAAACTTCATCAACTTTGTGATAAATCCACCTCTGCTCATCACAGACATATTTCCTGGACAGGATGTAGATCATTCTTATTGGTGCAGAAGGAAGGCTCCTATTCAGTAGTAGTGGGAGAGAAAGAGGAATAGACTGAAGGAGAAATGGAACCATGGTGACATACCTCATGGTCTCAGCTTTTGGTGGCCAAGACGGTGTCATAACCAACTCAGACATGGGTGTAGTCTGTGACTAAAGTTAGCCATTGGGGTTAGCATATCGACAATTGATTTTGACTTTTCTTTTCTAGGCTGCCAGAGAAAGCAAGATGAATGTGTCTGCCAGGCCCCAAGGTATGTTGGCAGCAGTTGCTAATCAAATGGAGGTTTTGCTGTTCATCTACTGAGTTGAATCATCTACAACTCTCTGTCTTATGGCAAGGCTGAGGGAAGTCCTTGATGGCTTACATTTGGGCTTTTTTTCCTTTATATTAAATTGGACCTTTGACCCCAGTCCCATTCTCTTCTTTTCCTGGCATTCTCTAATCCACTTCAATCAGAGTTTTAAGGGTTTTTTTTTTAAATTTTCTTTTTAAAAAATTTTGCCATAGATTCATTAGATTGAGTCAGCTCAACTTGGGACAATGGCTAAAGTATAACTGTGAGAAGTCTTTGCTGATATAACACATTATGAAGTTCTGGATCTGGGAGGCTGCATTTTTTTTTTTTTTTTAATTTTTATTGTGATTTGGGTGAATGCTTACAGAGATAATTCATTTTCCATACAGCAGTTCATACAAATTTTGTTTCATGACATTGACTGCAATTTCACACAATATAATAGCTCTTTTCCCACTTCCTCCCCATAGTTATTCTTCTCTGTGTCCTTCCCTCCCATGCACTCTCATCCCCTGAGTTGTCTCCCTGTGCAAATACTGCCCTTCTGTTCTCCCATGATTGATCACTTCAAGGAGTGTATCTGCCTGATGTAAATGTTCACCCCATATGTTTGTTTATTGTTTGGGTGCAAGCCACAGGAGTGAGTTCAGTTCCAGACATGAAGGCTAACTAGGGGCCACAGTCTCAGGGGTCTCACCAGGCTCCATAAGACCAGAAAACCTGGTCTTTTTTATGATTTTGAGTTTTGTTCCACATAGTTCTCCCACTCTATCCAGGATCTTTTGCATTGATTTCCCCTCTGTGTGGTTGGCAGTGGTAGCCAGGCACCATCTAGTTCTTCTGGTCTCATGGTCATATAGGCTGAGGATCACATATTCTACCAGTTCATTGGACTAACTGTTTCCATGCATCTTTTTTTTTTTTCATTCTTCCTTGCTCTGGATGAGGAGAGACCCATCATTGCATCTAGATAGCCTCTTGCAAGCTTTTAAGACTAGATCTGGGAGCCTTCTTAGAGAATCTGAGGTGCAATAGCTTTTGAATTGTGTTCTGGGGCACTGCAGGATTTGATTAGGTTTAGAGGGCTGTTGTAGTGTTTGAGAATGACTGAATGGACTCATCACTAGGCTCATCACTCACTTCAACTGGGGCAGTTCCCTTTTCATCTATTGTATATATTGGCACTCAGGATAAGATTTTTTTGGAAAGAATATGGTTGTTGCCAAAGAGTATGACAACCATGTATGTGCATCAGTTCCCCTCTATTTTACAAAGAAAAAACTCCTGATCACCACAGGATTTGTGTGTCTTCACTGCGGGGATAGCTTGGTGATTGGCCCAGTGCAGCCCAGATCTTAGACCTCATCGTCTGATGCTGATGCCTTTTCTTTCTCCAGGCAGATGTGATGGTGTCTGCAATAAGCACAATTCCCAGTGCAGCCAACCCTGCCCTCCAGACACTGAGGGAAATATGGGGTTTTTATGCAGGAAAAATAAATGGCACAAGGTTACTGATACCTGCCGAACCCTTAATGTCTTCAACATCTTTGAGGTAATATCCTTTTTCTCCCAATTTGGATTCTAATGTGAGCATCATGAGGAAAATAATAATAATAATTATTATTATTGCTGCAAGTCATTGCTGCAAGTGGATCCCGACTTATAGTGATCCCTCCTTGGGTTTCTGAGGTGGTATCTGTATGGAAGGGGACTGCATCCCTCCTTGGGTTTCCGAGGCAGTATCTCTACGGAAGTAGATTGTTCAGTTTTCCTTCTGAGGAGTGGCTGTTGGGTTTGAACCTCCAGCCTTCTGGTTAGCAGTCAAATGCCTTAGGCACTCCACCACCAGAGCTGCCCTAAATTAGCAATGTATTTTGCCTTCACAAAGAGAGAGGAAGAGCACTTGGCAGAGAAGCATGTATCTCTGTTTTATGTGAACACATCACATCTGCCTAATCTCTCTCGCTCTACACAAGAATCACATTCTTAACTTTGAGCCTCTAAAAATTTGTGCTTCAGTCGCCCACACCCTTTTGTGACAGGCAAGATGTAAATATTTTAGAATTTTGTGGGCCATATCATCTCTGTTGTGACTTCTCAACTGTGCCTTTTTAGTGTGGAAACAGTCCAGACAATATGTAAGTGAATGAGCTGGCTGTGTTGCTATAAAACTTTATTCACAAAGAAGAGGTGACCACCCTAGAGCCATAGTTTGCCACCCTGATCTAAAGAGTGTGACTCAGGTCATTAGTCTATGGGAGACACTCTCTATTGCTATTTTCAGTCATTTTTCTCTCCTAGTTTGGGAGCTCTGCTGGTGTAGTGCCTAAGGCATTTGACTGCTAACCAGAAGGTTGGTGGTTCAAACCCACCAGCCACTCCTTGGAAGGAAGGTTGGGCAATCTACTTCTGTAGTGATACTGCCTCGGAAACCCGAGGAGGGGTCGCTATGAGTCGGGTCCGACTCGACGGCACATACCAACAACAACAACAGTGTTTCAGTTGAGTCATCCAAATCTAGTTCAGAATTTTCATTTAAAAAATATACTTATGTCTCATGCTGTGCCTCTCAGGAATTGTAAAAACAAGCTTAAATGCTATCAACAATTTATATCTACATAAAGAGAGAGAATATATAATGCAGGTGACACAAGTTGTTTGCTCTCGACTGCTAACCTAAAGGTTGGTGGTTCAAACCACCCAATGATACTGCAGAAGATAGGCCTGGTGATCTGCTTTAATATTACAGACAAGTAAACCCTATGGAACAGTCCTACTCTGTAACACATGGGGCCTCCATGAGTCAGAATAGACTCAACAGAAACTGACAACAACATGAATACACAAAAGGGGTCTGGAATGGTTAAAAAAATAAGACAAAACAATAACCCAAACCTCACTGCTGTCAAGTCAGATCCCACTCATAGGGGCTCCTCCTTGGGTTTCCAAGGCAACGTTGCTACAGAAGTAGATTGCCAACCTGCCTTCTGAGGAGGGGCTGGTGGGTTTGAACCACTGATCTTCTGGTTAGTAGTCCAATGCTAAAGATAAAAAATAATATTTCTGATTTTTGGGGAGTGGGATTAAGAAGTAGGCAGTTAGGAATTTGAGACTCATTTTTTGGGCTCATACACCTTGGTGTTGGTCAAGTTATTCCACCAAAGATGTGACTTTGGAAATGTAAAACAGAAGAACATTATGAAATTGTGTAATAAAGCTGCCCTAAATTTTAATACTCGGAAGGAAGGTTGGGCAATCCTACTTCCGTAGTGATACTGCCTCGGAAACCCAAGGAGGGGTCGCTATGAGTCGGGGCCGACTCGATGGCACATAACAACAACAACAAATTTTAATAAAGCTACTTTTTCATTTAGAACAAAAGTAATATAATAGAAATTTATTTTGCCATTTCTTAGGAGGATTTAAATTCAATCCAATCACTTGGAGAAAACATAAAGATAAACCACTATGCTGGAAAATCTGAGACCATTACAGAGAGATTAATGCAAACATGTCCAAAGGATTTGTCTTGTGTAGTTAAAGGCATTCGGCAGTCTCCCCGGATACCAGGAAATATTGCTATGATTGTGCAGCTCTTACATAACATATCAACAGAGCTAAAGGCAGATGTTGATGAGACAAAGATGCAGGTGAGTGGCCTTAAATGCTTGGTAGAGCATCATTTCAGTGGGAAAGGAATGAGGGCTAGTTGGGGTATTCTGTGAGTGTCTTGGGGCCTGGGAACAGGATCTTTCACCTCAGTATCTCCAATGCCTAGCCTAGAGTACATTCAATAAATGTACTAAAAATAAATTGAAGAAATAAGTGGATGGAATCAGTGAACACACTTAACTGACAAACATGTACAGAAAGCACTTACTATGTACTGTGGTGGGCATTGGAGTATGCTTTTCCAATGTACATTTTGGCTACTCAAAACCTTTAAGAATCATTCTAGGACCTGCACAGGAAAATATTTTTCTTACTTTTATCTATGAGGTTGCTAAAATGGAAAATATTTGAAGCAAAGAAAATGCCATAAATGTCAGCTGCAGATATGTGAAATGAAATCAGACCCCATTTCATTTGTTTTGATCTTCAAAATAGAAGATAGTGAAAAGTAGATTCAACATTTGGAGATAATTTCCAATTTAGTATGCTCCCATGAGTTGGGATTTAATAGATATTAATTACATGATGAGTACCCTGACCATGGTAAGCAAATTGCTAGTTTTGCCCAGGTGGGAACCCAAGCTGATGACACAAATGAGCACAGTGGAGGTTGCCCACTTGCCTATCTTATGGGAAGGCATTTCATAAAGGGAGGAGGGAAGGGCAAAGTCATCCTATTGTGGTTCTGTCTTCTATATCAAACTTCAGTGTGCAGAGTCACCTGGGGATCTCATTAAAATGGAGATTCTGATTCATTAGGTCTGGGGTGGGTCCTGAGCATCTGTATCTCTAAGAATTTCCCAGGGGATGCCTACAGTGCTGGTTAGGGGGTCACACTATAAAAGTGAATCTTTAATGAGCTGGGCAGATACAGAGAGTGGCTTAGTACTAATATCTGTTCTTCATTGGCAGAGTTACAGCATCATTGCCAACCACATTCTTAACAGCAATAGCATCTCAAACTGGACTTTCATCCCTGAGAAAAATAGCAGCTGTGTCCTGCTACACTCAGTCAATTCCGTTGCAAGAAAGCTATCTATAAATAAGCATCCTATTGACATACCAGATGCCTTTATTCATATAAAGGCCACCACCATATCCAGAGATAACAATGAAAATAATTTCACTTTTTCAATGAGAGTTAATGACACTGGCCATAAAGTCACTGGAAAGGTATTCTTCACTAGAGATGAACTTCTGAATGTGCCTTCTTCTTCTCCGGTTGTCAGCATTGCATTTCCTACCCTTGGGGCCATCTTGGAAGCCAGCCTTTTTGAAAACATCACTGTGAATGGGCTTATCTTGTCTGTCATTCTGCCCAAGGAACTTAAAAACATCTCACTGACTTTTGAAAAGATCAGCAAGTCAGAGGAGAAGAGGACACATTGTGTTGGCTGGCACTCCTTGGAGAGCAGATGGGACCAGAAGGCCTGTCAAATGATTCAAGAAAACTCCAAGCAAGCTGTTTGCAAATGTGAGCCAAACAGGTTCTTTACCTCTTTCTCAATTCTTATGTCACCCCACCTGATGGAGAGCCCCATCCTGACTTATATCACATACATAGGTTTGGGCCTTTCAATTTGCAGCTTGATCCTTTGCTTGTCTATCGAGGCCTTCGTCTGGAGACAAGTGACGAAGACAGAGATCTCATATTTGCGCCACCTGTGCATTGTAAATGTTGCAGCCACCCTGTTGATGGCTAATGTGTGGTTCATTGTGGGTTCCTTTCTTGGTGGTCCAATGACACGCCATAATGGATGTGTGGTGGCAACATTTTTTGTTCATTTCTTTTACCTTTCTGTGTTTTTCTGGATGCTTGCCAAGGCACTCCTTATCCTCTATGGAATCCTGATTGTTTTCCATACACTGTCCAAGTCCGTCCTGGTGGCATCTCTCTTTTTAGTGGGCTATGGGAGCCCATTGGTCATTGCTGTTATCACAGTTGCTGTCACTGAGCCTAGCCAAGGCTACTTGCATCCAGAGGTGTGTTGGCTCAATTGGGACAAGACCAAGGCCCTTCTGGCCTTTGTGGTACCAGCTCTAACCATCATGGTAGTAAACCTAATCACCGTCGCAGTTGTGATTGTAAAGACCCGGCAAGTGGCCACTGGCAGTTCCATGTTCCAGGAAGTGAGAGCCATAGTGAGAATCAGTAAGAATATCGCCATCCTCACACCACTGCTGGGCCTGACCTGGGGATTTGGAATAGCTGTAGTCATCAATGATAGCTCTCTGGTCTTACACATTATCTTCTCCTTGCTCAATGCTTTCCAGGTAAGTGCAGGTACTGCTGAACATATCTGAAATGGGGATTCCTGAAGAGGTTTTGTGATAGGAAGCTAGTGACACTAGATTTCTATTTAACATAATGGATTTGGAATAACATATTGAGTATGGAAATGATCTATAGCTCCAGAAAGGCTTAGATTCAAATCCTGACTCTCTCATTTACTACCATGTACCATTATCTTTGGAGTCCCTGGATGGCACAAATGATGAAGCAGTTGACTATTCACTGAAAGGTTGGTAGTTCAAACCCACCCAGAAGGGCCTTAGAAGAGTGTCATGGTGATTTGCTTCCAAAAGGCCTTGAAAACCTTACGGAGCACAGTGTGTACTCTGCACACACGGGATTGCCATGAGTTGGAATTGTCTTGTTGGCAATTGTTTTTTCCCCCCTTGATATTGGAAAAATTCCTTAACATTTCTAACTCATATTTTTCTCTTATAAAATGGGGAAGATACCACTCACTTTATAGGGGTGTTTGGAAAACAAATGTGTAAACAGGAGAGCACCAATTACCAAAATGACTAAGGATCAGAAAACAGCATAATAGTAGGCTGAGTTGTTATGTTTATGATTTAAACAATATTATCACCCAAAAAACAATCTGTGCGTATCTGAAGCTATTAAAATTTGCAAGCTTATTGTATTTCCTTCTACTTAGGTATTTTAGTTATCATTTGAAAACGTCTTATTTTAACAAGGCACATGATACACAGTTATGTTGTCTGTGCCATTGATTCAATTGCGACTTGGCTACTAACTGAAAGTTCAGCAGTTTGAATCCATCCAGTGGTTCTGCAGGACACAAGACCTGGTGCTATGTGCATGTAGAGATTACAGCCTAGAAAACTCTATGGGGCAGTTCTACTCTATCCTATAAGGTCACTATGAGTTGTTATGAGATACACAATCATATTGAAAATTAAGTCTGTTCTGAATCTCACTTGTATAAATTAAGTGATGTTTACAATTCCATGTGTAATCTTGCAAAATTTTCTATGAATGTACAAATATTTACACATATTACAGGGTTTATATATATACACATATGTATGTATAAAACCAAACTCACTGCCATTGAGTCAATTTGACTCGTAGAGACCCCTCCTTGGGTTTCTGAGGCAGTATCTCTGTGGAAGTAGATGGCCCAATCTTCCTTCCGAATATGTGTGTGTGTGTGCATGCATGTGTGTATACACAAATACACACATATATAATTCAATAACTTACTTTTTCCCTTAGAAATATATCTTACCTGGTCACTGTATATAAATATACCTTT